AAAACAACTCTAGGTCTGTTGTTGATGAGGAACGATGTTGTAACATGGTTGAATGACATCTCTCCTATTATAAAATGAAGAGCAGGTTGGTTTCATTGTTTTAATTTGCAAACTAAACTAAACAAATACAAGTACTGGCCTGTGTGGGAGTTGAATCACTCAGGCCTATTCAATTCAGATAATGACTAAAATACCACCTGATCAGCTCTCCACTTCTTGTACAAACCAGAATTACTCTCGGCCAGGTCTTTTCATGATTGCACGATTGCCACCCCATATTAATTTTCCTTTTTCTTTTCTCTTTGGCATTTTACCATTAGCATAATTTGGCACACTGCTTCAATTTGGCCTCAATCCTGGCAAACATTATGTACTCTGAAATCATAGTGAGCCAGTGTTTGAGAGAGAGAGAAAAAAGGAATTACTCTTTCTTACTTTTTTGGTCTTTATTATAGACCTGAGCGCCACCACCCATAACTTTTCCAATCTTCACTTTCTGCTGTGTATCATTTGGGCCCACCTGCCGGCTCCCCTCACTTGATGGACCCTGGCTGCCCTGGTGAACGAAATCACTCTCCTCTGCAGCTCCGAGTTGGAGTGTTGGCATCATCGATCTTAGTTTTACCATAACTCCATGTCTGTCTCTCTCGCATCAGTATGGCATCTCATCTCCTCCACAACCTGATCCTAAAAAACCTTTTCTTCTCACCTCATCTATCTTTAGGGCATTTTTCAGTTTCCTCACATCCAGTGCCTGTGTCTTCAATTGGAAACTGGAAACATTTGCATACAGTACAAGTTTTATAGAGCAGTTCCATAACAGTAGCTGCTTGCTTGCATGCGAAAAGCCGGATCCTGTCAGACCTCTGAAGCTGTGCAGGGTAAGACCTGGTCAATACTGTGATGGGAGATCTCTGGGGACATCAGGTGCCACAGTTTGTCTCAACAGAAACGCTAGTGAAAAATTCAGACCACTTCATGGTTCTTATATCTTTTATTTGCATTTTATAATTTGTTTAACAGCCCTATGAGTCACTAATTAACGTTGTTGTCTTAGAGTGTGGGTCAGGTCTTTTTCACATTTGTCTAAAAAGTTGTTCCAAAGATATGAACAATAGGCAAAGAACACTTGCTCTCGCTAATTAGATGGAGTGTATCACATTGTTCTTTTGTAGTTTGAGAATTACGTACAGTACCACAGCTTGAAATGGTGCGCCGTGTGACTTTATTCAAAACATATTTTTTTTACTTGTTAATACACCATCCATCCCTTTTCTTCCACTTAATCCATTTCTGGGTCGGGGGGGTGGCAATCAGAGCATACACACGCACCAGCCCCTCACTGATCCTCCTGCAGGTGGTGAGTCCACAGGAGCCTTGAACTTCCAGCGGGGGCTTCAGGCAAAGCGGGATTAAGTGTCTTGCCCAAGGACACAGCAACAGCAGACATCAGGTCTTGTGGTGGGCACGAACCCACGACCTTCAGGCCCAAAGGCCAATGCTCTACTCAACCACTGTCGCCCCTTTGTTAATACAACTACATTGTTTTTATGACATGATATTGTTAGGATTGAATGAGCACAAGGCTGTAGTTTATTGAGTGAATGTGCATATTGACGTGACAGTTTAAACATATCACACATTCAGCCTTTTATAGCAATATGCAGTACCAATTAATCCTTTACAATTATTTGGAAAACGTTTATTTTGTTTTTTTTAGTTAATGCTACTTTAAGGTTCTTTTGAAAGACAAGTAAAGATATAGCCATAAACATTTTGATGACAGTCCTAATTGTGATCGTTTATATTCAGTGACCATTTGTTCTTCACCCCTGCCCCCTCCCTTATGCCAGGCTCTCCACTCCTCCTTTCTCCCCTTTTCACTTTGATAGTGTTTTATCCCCGAAGGATAGGCTTTTCTGCTTTTTGAGGTATTGACGTTTCCACTGATATGGCGCTGGTTATCTGTCAAGGCCAAGGCTAGAGTGTAATGGTTCTGTAATTGGATAAGATATAGGATTTTTGTCATGGCAGCTAGAGGAGGCGGGGCTTAAAGAACTTGCATCCATCTTGAACATTCTCACCCTCAATGTTATCATACAAGTTTCATTTCTCTGTAAGCTTGCTGGTGTAGCTGTACTGTCTTACATTATCTATCCCCCCATATACGGGTGCTGTGTTCCCGTTCCAGATCCGTGCCGTTTTCGGATCAGTCACTCTCCTTCAGCCGTCACTTTTCTTATCTGTATTTGTGTCCTAAAACCCATTACACAGAATCAAAGGGCGGCTGTTACATGAGTCCATCCGCCACCCGCTCCTCCTGATAACAACTCCTCTCTGGTCCTGTCACACGTCTTTTGGATCAGACCTTAGCTGTATACGTCAGATGCAAATGCTTTTATCTGGCCATGTCCGGTTTTAGCTCTTCGGAACGTCTTTCAAATGTTAAGATTTGTCTGAATCCTATTGAAATACATTTTTATTTTTAGGATAAATTGGTAGTAAATGTTTAACAATGGTAAACATAAACAACAGTACAATGTATAAAAATACAAAAATATCCAAAAGTAAACATGAAAAGAAAAATATATAAAATATATTGACCTAAAATGGCTTATACTGTAGAACTGAGCAACACCACAATGACGCTTTTTTCCTTAGTGCTGTCTAATCTATACATATGGATCTAAATGTCAAAATCCTGTCTCTGTGACACTAGGAGAGAGGGTTCCCATCTTGTAGTAAACATTTGGCGGACGTATACCCACACCAAGAAAACCCTGTAAGTTTGAGCTGAGAAAAGTCAGGGGAGATCTTGGCACAACAATAATCATAATACATCTCAACACAACAGAAGCATGGACTGGTCACCATCTCCCAAAACCAAGCGTCCGCTGGAGGTCCCAACAGCGCCACCATGACATAAATTATGTGTGTATGTGAGCAAAATCGATTAGCGCCCTTAAACATTGGAGTAAACTCATTTTTGAAGCAATAAGAGCAACCACAGACATTTCCCATAAAACCCACTATTTTACACCTGTATTGATACATGTAAGACTTTATCTAACATGATTTCTGTTTAGCGGTTTGTCCTTGTGAAGAATGAGAGCAAGTTCAATGCCACACAAAGATTACAGGCAAAGTAAAAAACATTGGATTGGGATCGCTATACTTACCTTGAATACTCCATTAGGACTAAATTGCTAAGAAAAAGACATTCATGCCTTGAACCAAAGTGAGCTTAGAGGAGGCTTACAGCTGCTTAATAAATGTGTGTGCAGTGTCAATTCCTGTTTCCCACCGTTACCACTAGTCCCATTGCACCCCGCATCCACAGCTTTGTATTATTCATCTAAGTCTTAATTGGAAGGTGAGTTGTGGTCAGTAAGCCCAGGGCAGTGTTCGCCGCTCTTACCCCTGCAGCAGTTGGTCCCGTACAGGGCAGAGCTCGACAGAACGCCGGCACTGAACCCGCCACTCATTTAACCTCTGAGTCTTGGATGCACAGCCCTAGCTCCAGCCAAAATCCCACACGATAAATAACACACACTTATTTTGCATAGGAACATCTGTATTGTGCGCTGTAGGGAGAGTTATTTTGGTTATGTCTGGGAAGTATTTAGTAATGTTGACTCTGAGTGAAAGTTGTCTACATCATGTGTTTTGATAAGACTGAAAACCAAACCAGATCAATTTTTATATTTTTCCTTAATGGTCCATTATGTACATACAACATTATTTACATACAACAAATATTACAACTGTGCACAAAAACTACTCATCTCACCCAATGGCTTTGCTTCATATAACATAATGTGCATTCAGTGTATCTTTTCCTAAGAAATGCACAAATACCACCATAACATATTTATTCATTCTTCAAATGACTAGTTAAGTGTACCACAGACAATATGAATGATATAATTGATGATTCGGGGAAAAAAAAAAAAAGATGATTTTTTGGTTTTATAACTTCATAACTAAACCCAGCTTGTGTTGTGAAAGAAAAGCTTGTTTCTACACTGATCATTGTGATCTGTGCTCAAGGATGCTCTGTGTCAGGGCTGAGAGGAATAACATAACCTCACGCACACTGTGCTGCAGGGAATGGGACCAGGGCCAGTATCGCTTTCATTAGAAGTTTCTGTGATAACAGTGGGTTTCCCAAAGATCAAACTGCAATCTTAGTTGATATTTGGGCATGTATAAGGGCAGTTTCCAACAATTACTTTTCACACTGGCATAAAGGACTGCTATACGCCACACACATCCAAAATAATAAGGGTTAGAGCCCAGTAAGCATTTGCTTCATCCGACCCCTTTTCAAACTGTGTTGTTTGTTTTGTTCTGCTTTATGAGGAATATAAGTTTGAAAGAAAAATGTGTATGTGTGTGCTTCAATTATCCATTAGTTCAATTAGCTAGTTAAAACTTTGATGCATTATTATTATTATTAATACTATCATTTATTTTTTTGCCTGGGTGGTCCATGACTTTCAGACGGGAACAAGATGTTTCATTTGCTAAAGAGAATATTTAAATTAAAGACTTTAAACTCTCTTACTATCTAATGTTTTCATCTCTTGTTCTTCTGTTGTCCGCAGTGGCATTTTAATTAGATGATTGTAAAGTGGAGTTGATGGCTATAGGCTGTATCTCTCTTTGCACTTTTTAATAAAATATTGCTCTCGCAGAACTATTTTAGCTCGTGTCTTGGGGCAAATGTCCGGGCCCTCTCTGCTGGACACTCACCATTAGTAATAGAATGGACCTTAACCTTGTAACCGCATATTCCCTTTGTAAAATGTCATTATGGTGGAGCCACGCTGTTCTCTGCCTTCTCAGTCTTGGACTTAAAGGCTACGTGCTATAACTCCGACTGTGCATTTCTCTCTAACAAGACCACAAAGTGCACTCCTCATTGGCTCGTGCCTTGTCATTAATAAAACATCAGACCTTATATAGACTTCATTATACATGTTGTGTTTTCTGTCCAGGGGCGGGTGGATGGTCACCTCTTGACAGTGACCATTACCAGTGGCTTCAGGTGGATTTGGGGTCGAGAAAACAAGTGAGCGCCATAGCAACGCAGGGCAGGTACAGCAGCTCGGATTGGACAACGCGGTACCGACTTCTCTACAGCGACACAGGGAGGAACTGGAAACCCTACCACCAGGACGGGAACATATGGGTAAGTCTGGAAGCAAGACAATTGGCTCCGCACTGAACACAAATATAATGGCTGCTCTGTATTCTATAATTCTGCTCATGTTTGTGTGGGTTTAACCAGAAAATACAAAACTCTGTATACATACTGACTATATCTATCAAATAGGCCAGGAAAGGTAGATTTATTTTTATAGCACAGTTCATACAAGTGCTGAACAAAACAACACAAGATCTTTACTCTTTTTAATGTACAGTGAAAAAAAAAATCACAGTACAAAAGAAGGAAGATACATTGCTTCAGTTGCGTGCAGAGCAAAACGAAAATGTGTTTAACCTGGATTTGAACGTTGTCAGAGTAAAAACCCTGTCTCACATCTTCAGGAAGACTGACATCTCCTTCATAGAGTCAGGTTATCAATTGTGGTAATATTGGTCCACTGTGCAAATGTGCTGGTTATCGACAGGAACTGGACCATGTAGTCATGTAGAGCGATGAGTGACAGATCAGATGAGTGGCTGAACATGGACGTGAAACTGACATATTTCTGCACATTTCCATCATGAATATCAGGAAAATCTAATGCAAGGGGTGTCTATTTGTACAAGAAACACAAGCCAGTCCAAAATAATCACAGGTCATTTAGTAGAGTCTAGATCTGAATCCAATAGTGATTTGATTTGGAACCATTTTAAAGAAAAATCCAAATGCTCAATTGTTATAACAGCAATAGTTGTTATTGTAGCAATGGTAAAAAAGAGAAGTAGATGTTCAATATTATTTGTCTGTGTAAAGCCTTGGGTGCAATTTTTCCTCTTTATGACTGTGGGGACTGGTTGTTATGACAAATACAAATCTTTTACAGTGGAATTCAGCGGTTGTTTTTGGGCACTGCATCTTAATTACTCTGCAATTATTATTTATTCAGTAGTGTTTTTCTTCAGTCATTAACTTTGATTCATTGCGTCTTAGATATTCTCCAGAACACATTTATCTCAAGGGCCTTTCTATAACTGGCCAGCTGTTTTTTGTGCCTTAATATATGACATATATATTACTTTTTTAATGCATTGCCGGACTGGATGTGTTTCAGAATGCTCACGTAAACAAATGCTTACCCTGTTGATCACGGGAGCTTTACCTTTCATTGATCTGCCGTCTTATCCTTCTCACACTTCTAATACTATTACTTTATATTTGAATTGGTTCCATATTTGAATTCACATCCAAATATTGTCTCTGTTTATCTGTAGATAGCATGACCCTACTCCATTTGAGTGACTTACGATGAATGATGATTGGAATAGACCTGACAATGCAGCATTTGGTTGGTGAAAAATAATGTTTTTAATGTCTCATTTAGAGCATGTACTCCTGAGGAGGAGCTCTGGCATTGACAAACGACAGTGATAATTAAAACGCAGATGCTCTGCCAGGAGATAATACTCAAGGAGCTGCTCGTACTCGACTTAAAGCGGCTTCAGACGAAGCTCTTTGAACTGACTGAAGCGAGGGTGCTGAATGCACACTGTATATATGTTAGGTCTCTATGGGCAGGGGCTGGATTATTGCTCATGTTAGAGAGAAAACATGCTATGCCCACGGATATTCTTTCTATTTGAGCTTCAAAGTAACGGTCATCAGTTGGAGAGTTCTGGTTAATGTGCTGTTTCCTAAGAAACTCATCAGCAAAGAAAGCAATCCAGATCTGTTACTGTCTCTTTAATAAGAGATCATGTTTTCAAATGTATAGCTGGCCACTACACTGCAAAAAATATTCAAACATAAAGTCATAGATGATAAATATTTCAAAACAAGGTTTGCCAATGGGGAAAGCAGTTTAGTCTTATTTTGTTTTGACATATGTCACACCTTTGTTTCTTAAAATGTTCATAATATTCTAATATTCTGAGATGGTTTACCAATTATGAACATGATAACAAATACATGCTTGATACAGTATATCTCACTCTTGCCTGAACCGAGTCTGAAAGTGCCACATTTTAAGATGAATTACAATGGTACAATGGTACAAGTAATTTGTACCATTTGAACTAAATTGTATTTTTTTTTTTTTTTTGAGTTTCACTTGTCATTCCTAGTGAGACATTTTTGCTAGTCTCATCTCCAAATCTTGTTTTGAGACAGTCAAAATATAATCAAATTAAGATACACCTTATCATATTTTTTGGTGAAATGCATTGATTACAGTCATGCCATAATTACTCTAAATGCCAACATGTCCAGCCCCATTCGCTCAGATCAGGATTATATTCATTATTTTGTAGAACTTATTTCCAGAATGAAAGCTTGAGGGGCCGGGGTTAAATCAGGTGAAACGTGTGAACAGATCAGTTATTTATTTTTTTTTTTTTTATTTCACAGGCTGCAACAATAATTTCACTGCGTATGTTTCTTTTCTCCTGTAATGCTGTTGTGATGCCCTGAGGTCACAGTGATCATTCATGTGAACGAGGGGTGCAGGTCAGCTGACAGTAATACATGTACCCAATATACAGGCCGTGTCAGGGCTGCAAATCCTCCGCTGAAACATGAGTGCACCGTGGGCAAACCTTTACACTCCGCAATGGCCGCATGTATAACCAGGGATAAGCTATTGCTGAGCCAGAAACAATTCATTCCATTGAAGTTTTCCCTCAACATCCTGTTTCTTTGTTGCTTAATTTAGTTATATTCATGTGCAGCTTTTTAATCCATTCACAAATCCATCATTCAGTTCAATTTATTGCGGTATATCCCTAAATCCCAAAACACAGCAGTCGTTGTCTCGGAGGACTTTAATTTTACCAACAACAGAGAAAATCAAGTAGATAAGAAAACAGGCAGGCAAAATTATCCACAAATGTTAATAAATGTGCGTAAGCGTTCGTAAATGACATGCAACTCTTTTCATGAGAGGTTTGATTGGACGTCACATCTCTGAGAATAGCTTTGCACATATTTCTTACAGAATCTATGGAAACGGGGACAATAGGCTTGTAGTTTTTTGACCCACTTTTTTTACTCAATTGTATCATCTTACCAATTGTCGCTCAATTATCTGTCTGTCCTCTAATTTTACACCAGAGATGATTTAACAGGGCTATCAAAGCCTAGACTATTTTTACAATTTAAAGACATTCTTTTCACTGAGAAGTATGTGATGTTTAATTTAAAAAAGATGTTCCAGAAGTGTGTTATTGAGGATTAATTTCACATTTTTTACTGCCCACTGTATTATAATTTTCATAAAAGAACTAACATGTGTGATATCACTAAAAAGAAATATCCTGATTTGTTTAGTTTAAAGATGAACAAAATGAAATGTTTTGTTTGATCCATTTTATGGAGAAGGCCTCGACCCTGAGACAGAGAACACTGTGTATCCAGAGCATAAATGAATATATTATTATTATTTGTATTCGTGTCATTTGAACCCATGTGGACAAGGCAAACACTTAAATAATATTAATTAACTCCTTCTTTCATTCAATCATGTTTGTAAGAAAAACATAATTATACTTCATAGGACAATATCTCATAAAGGGTCAAGACATACACAATAACTGAACAAATGGAAGGAATGGTTATTACCGACAAAGCCACTACTCTGTAGAAATGTCAAATCCAGGCGCTCCGGAGCCAATGACCAGAGCTATTAGCACTTTAGCACAAGAGCTGAGAAAAACACATCTCTGGCCTTGTTATCTTGTCCGCTGGCTTGTGAGACTGTGGCCACACTTGAAGAAAACAGGCCACGAAGCAAGTGAAAAATAGTTAGCAGTGAGTCTGCAGCAGCCCTCTAATCTATCATGCAGCCCTGGCTATTTAGCTGTTTATCTCTGCTGCTAGTGTCAGGAAAAGTAACATCAAGCGCAAAAGAAGTGTATAGGAGTTTTGGCCTCATGTTTCAACTGTAAAGACATGTTGAAAAAATCTATCAATTAAATGACTGGTTGTCTCTGCACATCCATCCATTCTTCATTTGGCATGTCGGTACTCAACCTGGACAAGAACAGGCTCCACTTGGACTAAAAAGTGGATGTTTCCAGTGACAAGATGTTGTTTTTCTATGATTATGATATGCTTTTCTAAATGTATTCATAATCACCGTTATCTTACAATATTGTTGATCAATCATTATAAGTCACAGAAATGTTCCTGTCCCAGAAGAAAAACTCTAAATGGTGAAAAAACTCTCACTCTCACTCTCTCAGCCCACACTCTTGGGCTGTAGATGTTTCCACAGAGGAAACAGAGGTGGAATCGAACCCAGGACCTTATTACTGTTAATCAACAGTTCTTACTACTGCGCCATCATGCTACCCAAGATGTGCAAAAAAAAGGCCTTCAACATTGTGCCGACTGATACAATAGCAAAAAGGTCTGAACTGCTTCTTCCTCGGTCGCAACAGCAATTGGAAAATAATATTTATCTGGTATTGTCATGTCTGAATGGGGTTAGGTACAATGAACTGAATGACGAGATTATTCCATCAATGGCCTTCTATCTGCCCGGCATGGCACGAGATTAGTCCAAGATGGCAGTGCCAGCAATCATTGGGCCCACATTGTGAATGGTTCAGGAAGAGACGCAGGCATAATTTTCACACATGCAGGGAAAACCAGTCCTGTATAAACCCAGATCATTTTTTGTAGTCTTGGGCTTTACGTAACTTTTTCTAGCTCTGTTGTTAAAGCTCTTGGAACCTACGCACTGCAATGTTAAATGACTTCATAAACATTTCATACATGGTTGGTCACGAAGCAATTACTGATAAAATAGCATTGCAATGGGACCAAAAAGAGCTGTGGAACTACTTGGTGCTAATGCTGTAGCTTAACCTCACGGGCTAACCTCTATGATGTGCTTCAGTCCCTTTGGTTCAGGCTGTTTAAGCTGCAGTTAATGGTAAAATGTGCACATGTCGTTGTTGTGTGGTTGTGTCAGAGCGCGCACGAGGCCCTGTTTGTCCAAGTGTGCGTCTCCGGAGGTCTGAGATCCGAGACCGCGCGCTTCGTCA